TTTCGGGAACTGCAGTCCTTTAGCTTGCAAAACATTTGGCCATACAACGCCAGGTATGGAGCACCTGATGATTTGTCAATACAGCAATCTAATACCTAACAGACACAATGCAATTGCATCCAGAAGTGTTTTATACACAATACCCAATAGGTAGGTTGAAAACGTCCTTGCAATCACCTAACGACGTACATTAGGGCTAAAGCCATTGTACTTAGGCCGCATGTCATAACCATAATAACGATTATGCCCGTCACCATTTACGGCAGAGTTGACAATGAGAGATCGTGGGATGCCCCTGAATGTCACTCGTCTCGTGCCTATGTGAAACCTCTTTGTCTGGCAAACAAGTTATAGCCTGCGCGCCAAACAAAGAGGTCGGCTACTCGATGGCTTTTTCCTCGCAGTTCCGACGCCCAGGGGCTACCGCCGCGCGTGACTGCGTATTGGCACACGGCTGCACACGCAGCGAGGTCCTGTACCGCTCGAGCTCGAGTGCGAACTCCGAGACGCACTGGTGCCCTGAGACCTTATCACACATGTGTGACGTTTTTAAGCGCGGTGAGATCTCGGTTTTTGTCACGATCGAACGATATTGGCGCACGATTCTACTGCACTGTCCATCGGCGTGTGTTTCTAAGCTGCAGTGCACAGCTTTGAAAATCGGACTTTGCCTTCTTACGTGCCCAAATGCATGCTGCAATTACACAAGATTTACGCTTTTTGGTTAATTTGTTTCTTTCTGCTTATCTCTTCCAGCAGCTCGCTGTTAACGTATAAACACAGTTGCAACATGTTTTGGCTTCAACATTGGCTGTATGTAAACTAAGTGCACTAGTGTCACTCAATTAGTGTTATCGCATCGTCTTGGGCTATGAGGTTAGGGCGTAATGTACTTTGCAAAGAGACGCGGAGGTGGCAGGGTGTCTTGTCCAGCGTTTGTTTAGTTGAAATCCAGCTGATTCACACTTTTATCTCGTTAGATACAAAATAGCGCTGGGTCCGTACCTGCCACTGCGATCTACGTTTCAAACTTAAAAACCACTACATGCATGTCGCCAAAAAGTTCTAGAACCTAAATTTGCAACGCTCCTTACCTTTAAAAACAAAATAAGGCGAAGATTGCTTAAAGACAGCTGCTGGGTGTTCGCGATGCCCTATTTGCCGAGGTCTCATCAGCGGCATTTTAGGGTTAGATGTGTAATAACGTACGTGTAGCGTAGAATAAACGGCCTACTAACACTCTATTTCACATTCAGATCATCTGACCTTTGTTATCATTAGACGCAGTAGGCCACAAGTAGGACCAGACAAATGGATGCCAGACTAGGCCGCATGTGCAAAAGCACGATTTTCTATGGAACAATGCTCGACCTTTGCGCACAAATTTTCCGTCAAAAGCAATTGTGACGCATATTTGATTGATTTTGACAATCGCTATCCACCGGCATCGCTTCGTTGTGGCACCGTGGGAAGTCCATGAGAACGCATGGCGTAGTGCATGTAGGTGGGCTTGAGCCTTGCATCATGAATTTGCTCGGACTTGTATTGAAATGGGATAGGTCACACCCGTTGGGTTACTACCGGTACACGGTGCGGTGTGCCGGAAACTAATACCCATTTCCCTACTTTCGCAGCAGCGTGTTTCTTGCGATTCGATGGAGACGAAAACGTGCTATTTCTTTCCAGCTGGTCTTATTAACCCGCCAATGGTCACTTGCACTGGTGTTCAATGACGCTTATCTGATGCAGTTTTGTGCGAGCCATCCAAAGTTGCTCCTACTCGTCTCTAGCGTGTTTCCCTCTCCAAACAGCGACTTAAACAGGGACAAACGGGGACTTAAACCCACCAAAAAGCTTGGTAAAAGTGACAACAGTGTTCATCTTGTATTTGCCACGGATAGTTGATACATCTATACTGTTCCAGTGTGTTATTCGTACACGCGAATTACGTGCACACCCTGGTTCTGGCCTGCATCTTCTTTAGTTCAATTAAAAAATTCAAGGAGGAATTACATTTCCACATACCTGCAACACTTCGGCACTGAGTGTAAGCCGTTGTCAGTGCCGCAAGCAGCAGAGCAGCAAAATAATTCAGAGACTGGTGTCACAGAGTGGAGGTGAAAGGCAAGCGGTGGCGGCAGATCGCCAGTCATGGCAACAGCCACCAAGCCAATACATTGGCATGAAATACAGTGCACATCATACCAAGGTAACAGTACAACTGCCGGATGGGTCGCAGGGCCTAGATAATTGCCAGTCCAAGCTTGTGGAGCGATCCACCACAGCCGTGAACTGCCAGCTAAGACGGACGGCGGCCGATTCTCAGTCTTAACAGCCCATTTGGAGTGCGTCTGGTAATAGCGTCTTTATTTTAGGATAGCACGTTTCATCTTCGTCACAAGCTGGCATAGAATCCATATGTTTCCCATTCGACTTGCTCAGCAGAATGGCAAAGAGGTCTGGGGGCGAACTGACCTCCGACGTCGGCGCGCTCAAACTCCAGTCAGCACCATAATCATGTCGAAAGGTGTGGCGCTTGCGTTTTCCAATCTTCCGGCGTGTTTTCAGGTTTTTGCCCGATTCCTGTATTGCTGGAGAAAGGTTCTAATGCTCTAAAACTGCACTGCTTAGATAACCTTCGGCTGAGAATACTATGGGTTTGAAAAGTTCATGTAACGGCATAATCATATGCATAACCTTCGCAAATAGGTGCTATTGTAAAACCTGTGCGGAAAACGGTCGGGAGAGTCCGAGAGTCCTCTATATAACGCGCAAAACCGTAGCGCTGGGCACAACCATACAACTCAACTAGTTTCACCGGAAGGATGCCCGCCGGAGCAGACCGTGGGGCATGCCGAGTATGTTTACCGGATGCGCCTTACAGCCACCCGCTCGGTTCCCCCCGGAACTGTGTCCAAAAACTTACGTTAATCACTTTTGCCTCCGACAAATGGGAGTCCAACGGCCGGAGAAACTGATTTACCGCTGACAGGCCCGAGCGAGTCGCTCATCCCCGCTCGGCAGAAGTTGCGGCTAAAGACCAGGCAGGCGACCGAATCCGGTGGAACAAGACAACATGCACCTTCATGGGTTCGAGAATCAGTTCGTGTGCTACATTCTGTCATTGCATTTTTGAACACCGTGTGAAGCGAAATGAGGCACCAAATTATCCATACAGCTTTACAAGGAGTTTTCATGAGTTTGCACCGGTCAGGTTCGCCACTTACTGAATCTTCAAAAGGCGACATTCCAGCATAGGTCAAGTAGCCCTTAAATAACGGATATATAAATAATAATATATATATATATATACATATATATGTATATATATATATATATATGTATATATATGTGTGTGTGTATGTATATATGTATAGATATACGGAATTTCAGTGTGCAAAAACCTACGTGGAGAATAAAGTGTAAGCTTCTCATTTCGACAAATCGCCCCAAAAGTCTTCCGCGTCCCATTTTCCTTACAAAGCCTTCCAAGGGAGACCCGTTCACCTAACGCTACATGTAAAAGCCGTGCAGAACGACTAGCATTCGGTGTAATTAGAGGTCAAGTTTGAACGATGCACGCAGCGATTCGAGAACTAAATTGCCTCCAGGTTTAATGCGAATGCAATGCTAGAATGTTGTAAGTCAGCAGGGGGCCAGCACACGAGGCACGACAAGCGGGACTGTCAGCTGATGCATGATAGCATGATGCTCTAAACGTGACCAAGTCCGCCTGGAAAATCACGTCGTTGTCATCTGTGCGAAACTGATAGATTTGTTCTCCTGTGATTCCTTGCAAGTTGTTTGGTCAAAGTGTGAGCAGTGTGTGTCCTTCTGTGACCTGTGGTCTGGAAAAAGCATTGTAGATACGCAGTCAACACCGTCCACACCCGGCCTTCAATACTACGTCTGCACTGGTGGATATCTGGCGTATGTTTTATGTTTGTTATCTTAACTCTGCGAGCAAGGCATGTGACCGAAATCAATCAAAATACACTTTTCTACACGATTGCAAAGTATGCGATCATTGTAAGAACGTCGTTTTCTTAAGTTATTGGAGGCTTTGCATGTCTTACATTGCACAAGCACGAAACAATCGTAATGAAATGCCTGATTTGATCTTGAAAATGAAGTTTAAAGATGATGTATGAAACTCCCGATCGAGAGGAGCGAGATACATATTCGGTGGGGACCATTCTGAACTGCTCACTTGCGCGGTTGCATATTCTTTGGAAGAACTAAGAGCAGAACAAAAAGGTAAGGAAGCTTTCGCACGTCGTCAGTCGACATTTACCCAAAGACAGCTTTTTCAAAAATCCACTCAAGACTCGACGGGCTGCTTGGAAATGTTCTTTGTCTCAACGCCCTCACGTGTAAAGGCAATACATGGGCGAAAGCTAGTCAACCATTGTTGCGGAGGCTATCCAGACCACAAACACTCTAAGATGTGTCGGTGGTCCTCAACGCTACCTGTGACGTCATCAGCTACATGACTGGCATCCACTCAACGATTGGTTGGAGATGCTGGCAGCGGCTACCTACTACACTATGAATCTTTCAAGGGAGGGGCGCTTTTGATTCCAGGTGCTATCACCACTAAAGAAATACCCCACGTGCTGTTGGGTTAATGAGGTCATGCACTTCTCATTCACATTTGAATTCTAGCATTCAGTGGTGTTCGGCGGCTCGAAAATTTACGGTACCGACATGTGTCATGCATCTTGCAAGACGTTCATTCACATACCACATAATGCAGGTTGCGTTACTTATCAGTAAAGATAACGATGTGCAAAAATCCTCGGAACAGGTTAGCAAGAGCGGGCTGAAGCACATGCTTACCACTAAGGATTCTATGGCCGACTGAAGGAACTGGGATCCCACATATACCTTGCTCCATCCCCGCACTTGCGAGCGCATGTCTGCTGTGCAGTGTCGACCCGGCGATGCTGACCAGGAGAGAACCGTGCAGGGTGCAGCGTAAGTTATCGAGGCCAACTCACTTGATCATAACAGGTCCTGAGCCGAGGTTGAAGCCGAACTCTAGCCGGCCGTCCACCAGCTTCAGGCCCAGGAAGTCCCCGTTCCTGTCGAATTGTCCCGAGTAGAGCAGAATGCCATCTGGTGAGCGGGCGAGGAACCACACCTCCAGCTCAAGCGAGCGGCCAATATCGCGCAGTTTTCGCAACTGCAGATAGGCGGCGCCACTGAAGCTCGGCACGAACGGATCACTGATGTGATCGGCGCGAACTGAAACGGCAGAGATAAAAAAAAACGCTGTCAGCCTGCCTGAATCATTTCAGAGGCATTGCACTTGGAATAACCGCAAGCGGGAAAATTGTATCAAAGCAAGACTAGCTAGCACCAGACCAGGAGACGGGAGCTGTAGACAAGCCTCGGTACGCCGAAGAAGACAAGGTTGTCGTCTGCTCAGGACAAATCGTGCGCGAAAAATAGATCGAACGAACGACACTCCGGAAGAAACATCTCATTCTTCCTTTGTAAGTGATGGCTAGGCATCAAAATGCATCAGGTCTTCAGTGAGCACAAATTATTTCGCCATACTGGGTTCCGTGTAGCCAATTAGCCATATTCAGAACACAAACACTTCTCTGACACTTGTAAGAAATATAAACAATAGGGATGCTGCTCGATACTTTCAACCGACTGCGCACTTGTTCCCTTATGAATATGAAGGTTCCGTGTACCTTCTGCGCATTTCTCGCCCCATCGTCCGGGTGGGCAGAGACACTGGAACGTGTCGGCTACGTTCACACAGGTGGCACCGCTGGCGCACGCGTCCTTCGCACTGCACGGATCCACCGGTTGCTCACAGTGGTCACCTGGAAAAGGCGCCCGTTACATTAGGCGCATCGACCATTTTGGATGGGTAACGAGTAAAACCAAGGCATAGCTTCATGGAATAAATTTTGAACAAGCAGCCGAAGCAAATCACTTTGATGCCAGAGCATAGAACACAGCGAGGTGCTGACAAGAAGAAAACAGACCAATGACAACGATTCTTAACTTCGACAGCCATGGCGATCAGCAACACACTACCCCACGCGGCTGATGCTCGCGACGTTGTTATTCCCAACCAGCAGTAACCCCCGCCGTGCGCCTGACACGCGGCCACGCGGCGGTCCCTGGGCAGACCCGGTCGGAGCGCGACGCACCGCGGTACTGCTCGGAGCACTGGCAGAGGTAGCGGTCGCCGGTGGTGAGCACGCACAGCCCAGCGTGCTGGCAGGGCCGGCTGGCGCACGGGTCGGCGCCGCACTGGCGCACGCCCACCGAGCGCGTTATGTGCCGCGAGCCTGGGTACCCCAGCTCGGCGGCCGACGGCTGGTCCAGCCGCAGGCGGCGCACGCAGCCCACGAACCCGAACGCCGTGCCGGCGTTCTCGTAGACCCTGCAGCAGGCGCGGCAGGGGTGAGCCACGTTCACCGAGACGACACCTGTCGGTGTGTACGGTTTGCGAGGGGGAGGTGGGCGACGTGGCTTGCATTTTACTGAGTGTATGAACTATCGGAGTCACCCGAGTCATCGCATTGCAAGCGCGCAGTGACTACGCACGGTTCGCAAAAGGAGCGATATTAGAACCCGGACCACTATTAGGTTGGATTCAAGCACTAGCCTGTTGTCCTGTACTGTGAAAATGATAACCCACAGTGACATGCGATGAAATTACAGTCTATTAACACGTATTATGCAAGGTGATATCATGGTGATGAGAACAGCGGAAATAGTATTTAAAATGAACATAGTATTCGTGTGCACATAACTGAGGTGAGCCGTTGCAGAAGTCCTGACTGCTAGAGGTCATTCAAAACTAAACGATGCTGCAGTAGCATTATGATGCAAATCCACATCTCACCTGTTGTATTGGCTGGGCACGTATCCGATATAGAGCGGCTGGCGCAGGTCCAGCGAGCGCAGACTGCCCTCCGACCTTCCGTGGATGCTCTCGCCGCCATCCACAATCAGCTGTCCGTCGCTGCAAGGACGGCCGTCGTCACCGCTGGCCTCCACAGCACGTTACACTGTGCGACTGCGCAGCTGGAAACTCTGCCGCCCATGACTCGGCATGTCGTGAATGCAGTGAGAGTGAGTGTGTGCACGGGCGACTAACTATGTTGAAAACTAGCAACATTCGGAATTTGATCTCAGTTCGTGTTCGGTAAATGTCGATGCTGGACCGCATAGCTACAGCAGCTGGACCGGGGCTGGCATATGTGTCCCCACAACAATGTTAATTTCGATAAAAAATCGCGACACCAACATACGACAACGGTCGCTGGCTTGGACCCCGCCAGGACGACTGAGCTCCATAACTGGCAGGTATGATATCTCAGAGCTGTAAACAAGTCGCCACTGACACGGATGACGATATCTAGACCACAAAAGCCTTCCCACTGGAAGCTGACTAGTGTACTCATCAAGCCCGCGCGATGATGGGTAGGTGGGGGGGGGGGGGGGGCAAGGGGAGAGGGAAGGGAGGGGGATGGAAAGAGGGGAAGTGGAGGAGGGATGAAACCCTGACTTCGCGGCGACGGTCAGAGGTTTCGCCCCACCGCGGAGGCTCCGGCTCTGTTGGTCAGCGTTCATCTCAGTAGACGTCTCACCCGTGGTAGCGCCGAGCCACCACCTTGTGGTAACCGCCCTGAGAGACCTTGCTCAACGATCGGATCACGACCGGGCCGTTCCCGATGTCGTACCGGAACTCGACGAAACTGAAACAGAGGCAGGCGTAACAGAGTGGGGACAGTGTAGCACGCCGCGGACAAGCCCTTAATACGTAGTGGGATCAGTTATGATCTGCAGTAACGCAAGGCGCCAAAATACTCCTCGAATCGAACATGCAGGATGACACAAGACAATTTCCATTCATCTCAGCGCAAGTGTGGTCTGTTTAACCAAGGCATACAAACAACGATGCATACAAGAATGCCCCCTGAGGGGTTAAAGCCCTTTAAGCCTAGTCAAAGACGAACGACGCGACATTTTGCGTCCTACCGCTCGCGTATATCTTCCGCCCTCCCCCCCCTCCCCCCTCCCCAGCCGGCGGCGGAGGGGTGCTTTCCTTTCCCCGGTATCGCGACAGAGGTGGCGCCACTTACCCGTCCACCAGCGCGATAGCGATGAAGTCGCCCGTCCCGTTGGGCCACTGCTGGTTGTAGAGCAGAATGCCGTCGTCAGTGTGGCTGCTGAACTCCAGCTCCAGGTGGAACTTGATAGTGGCCTTGGGCGGTCGCATCGTCAAGTAGGAACGGCCCGAGAAGGACGGCGTGTCGTAACTGTCGCCGGCCGCCGGGGGCGCGGCGGTCGGGGGACCCACTGCCGGAGGGCGGCGGAGGATCAGCTCTGCACGACAGCCGCCATCTGACAGCCAACTCCACGGCCGGAAACATTGTTGGGGCCTCCGGTCCTTCCAATAGGGGCCTGCTCTTGGCCTGGCGGGGCTTTCTGTGCCTTTCGTGGGCCTCTTATGCGTCGGATGGGTCTGTCTTTGAAAAGTCTGGACTCCAAAAAAGACTCAAAAGAGCAAGTAGCACCCAATGAGTATATGACGTCAGAACAGGTTTAAGCATTTACAGTTTTAACAATTTCAATTTCAGAAAACAATTTAAATTCTGACTTACGTAAGTGGTCTAAGTTGAACTGTCTGAGGTCACAGTGCTAAGTCAGGGTAGGAAACATGGCGTTGCTCGAAGGGCTGAATTTGGCTAACAGTTGATAACAAAGGATCACATATGCGCACACCTGGGACTTTAAGGTCACACTGAGCTGCTGAAATAATTATCGTAGGAAAACGTCTTTGATTTACGGTTGCCATTTAGAGATGAATAAATGACATTACGAAGTGGTGCAGTAAATAAGACCGCTACGTGACGGCAAAGATGTAGTTTTTTCAAAATATCAAACTAAGTTGAGCAGCGACCTATTATATATTTTGATGGCAGATGGGTAAGTGACTTATGATGACCACAGTATGCCACTGGACCGTCAGGAAACAACATTGTCCAGGTCCTTGACTTGCCATGACTTGCATGTACAAAATTGCAGGGTGTGCGCGAAATTGATGTGAACGGAGATACCCCAACATTCTCAGCAGGCTCGCGTTTTCCAGCTGTTTCCAAAAAGGTCATAAGGTTGGGATCGGATGCTTCCACGTTCCTGCAGTGCGAGGGCTGATGTCAGGCGTGCTGTGATATGGGGCTGGTCACAGCACACAGCAGCTGAAGCTTGTCATAAACCGTACAGGTGGGAGCTGCTCTGCAGCGCTCGGACAGGGATGTACAGCTCACGGCAGAGGTGCAACAGACCGGGCAGGCTACCGGCCGGACAGGGATGCACAGCTCACGGCAGAGGTGCAACAAACCGGGCAGGCTACCGGCCGGACAGGGACATACAGCTCACGGCAGAGGTGCAACAAACCGGGCAGGCTACCGGCCGGACAGGGATATACATCTCACGGCAGAGGTGCAGCAGACCGGGCAGGCTACCGGCCGGACAGGGATATACATCTCACGGCAGAGGTGCAGCAGACCGAGGAGGCTACCGGCCGGACAGGGATATACATCTCACGGCAGAGGTGCAGCAGACAGGGCAGGCTACCGGCCGGACAGGGATATACATCTCACGGCAGAGGTGCAGCAGACCGGGCAGGCTCCCGGCCGGACAGGGATATGACAGGCTGGGCAGGTGACGGTCCAGTCGGGTACGTGACAGGCTGAGCAGGTGACCGGTCGGACAGGGATGTGACTAACCAGGCAGGTCACAGTTCTTGCCGGTCATGGCCTCCGGACAGAGGCAGACGTAGTCGTCATGGTTGCGCTCGTCCTGCTGACAGCGCGCGCCGTGCAAACACGGCCGGCTCATGCAGGGGTTCAGCACTAGCCTCGTCACGCCTTCCGTGGTCAGCATGGGCGGAGTCAGCGCTGCCGGCGGAGGGGCAGGCGAAAGGTATTATACGCAGCTGACACGGTGATTGAGCTTGTGGCACGTTTAAGACTCTCGAGGCCGACAGCTTGCATTTTATTTTTCATTTTTTGCTCCAGATTTGGAAAAATGTGGCATCAGTCGGCCTCAGATCCTGCTACGCGAGCTCAGCTTATGCAAACAAGATTAGGAGGCATATTAACATTACAACACTATATGCCTTCAATAAAAGGCATATCAAACATGCACACAAAATTAGGAAGCGCAGAAGCTTTACAATCGTCTATGCCTATATAGATTGTGACCAAGAAGCCAACGCACACAAATATATACTGAAAAACAAACATATTCAACGTGACTCTGATTGTAATCAGCATCGGATCGCGATATAATGATCACGGCTTCGGTGGCGACGGACGCCGTGAAATATCTGAGGACATGACGTGCTTACTCACCGATGCACTGTTGCCGATTGGAGGCCTCGTCCAAGCCGTCCTGGCATTCACACATGCCGTTGTTGCAGAGGGAGAGTGTGACACGGCACTCCTCGTCCTTGCGGCACGAACTGCCCAGCATGCCTTGGATCAGGAAGTTGTCCTGCGTGGTGTGGCGCTCTAGAGAACCGTTGCTTTCGTATTCGGGCAACAGATGGCGGGTCGACTTGGCCGCCGTGGGCATGGACTGTTCGGTAAAGGCGGAGTGGAACAGTGTCGAGCGACGGAATGGAAAGCCAGTCGGCTCCAGCGAAGCCTCTGTGGGTTGACAAAAACGAAGATTCAGAAACAAATACGACAAACGAGAACGCGAGAAACTAAGCGAAGATAACGTGCGGCGCACCAGCAAATACCACGGCACCGCACCGTCGTCGTACAAGCGGCGGTTTGATTTGATTTGGTGTTTATTTTCTATTTTGAACATTAAGCAGTACATGACATAAAGAGTGGATTCGCGCATAAGCGGAAAGCTTAAATCTGAGCGCCTCTCCTAACAATAACAAGATATGGTCATCGCCGCCAGGGAACCCACAGCACACCGCCCACTCGCCCGATCCTTAAGCCGACACCGGCCAGACGCCCACCGCCACTCCAGTCTACACATATAGCCATCTCGGACGGCGGCGGATGCCGGTGCTCTTCCCACGACAGCGCCCGCATCCTTGTCTAAACGGCTGACATACATATTTCCGGACAGCCTCCTATTTCTCTGGACGGTGCCTACGCCGTGCTCTTAACGACGGGGACTTTGTCGCCAAAACAGTAGCTTTGCCGGGACAACAGCGGGACAACAGCCATTTGTCCGAACGGCAGCCGTACCTCTGTCCGGACAGGGGCCGAACGCGCGCAGCGTGAGGTCGCGCTGGCCACGACAGGCAGCCAGCTCCAGCTGGCAGAGGCTGCCGTAGCTCGCGCCGTCCGAGCCACACACCTCCGACCGCGGCTCGTCGCCGGCCGGCTCCGGACACGTGCGGTTGCACGTGCACTCGGCGCGGTCCGGCCGCTGCGTGCACGTGGCGCCGAAGTAGCACGAGAGCTCGGCGCACGTCGTCGCGTCTGGCTTCAGGTCGCCTGCTGAGAGGAGTGCTTCGCTAGAGCGGGCGGAGCGCATGCTGCAGCTGAAGCGTCGTACACACGCTGGCCCGGTTGGTTGACTACGACCGTATGCCACCATCGTCACACAAGGCTGCATTAGCATATGAGCCAAGGTCACACAACACAAACAAGAAACATGCTTTGTTAAAGGCTTTTCCTAGGCTTTTTCCCAGGCTAAAACGGCTTTTCCTAAGCCCGCTCGGCTTCTTGCTTACCGGCCACTGGCGCCAAGTACCCAACGGATAATTCTGCATGTGCTGTGGCTAGAAATCACTGAACATTATTGTAGACAATCTAGCACAAGTAATAGTGACAATATTGGCAGCCCATAGGCTAACAAGTGACAGCACCTACCACATCATGATCTTAACATGTTCTGCTCAGCAATGCTGTAATGGGTCCACCATGGGTCTCGAACAGGGTCGTCACGCATCGCAGGGCGCATCGCTCGCGCCCCCAGCGACCCATATCCACTTCACGCACGTAGAATCCGCTTTGCGTGCCTACCATGCGTTTCACGTAGTCTCCGTTTCATGTGCCTGGTATCCGCTTTACTTGCCTTGTATTCGCTTTACGTGCCTTGTATCCACGTCACGTAACTACTATCCGCTTCACGTGCCTAGTATCCGTTTTACTTGTCTTGTATCCGCTGTACGTGCCTCGTATCCGCTTCACGCAACTACTGTCCGCTTCACGTGCCTAGTATCCGCTTTACTTGCCTAGTATCCGCTTTACGTGCCTTGTATCCGCCTCACGTAACTACTATCCGCTTTACGTACCTAGTATCCGCTTCACGTGCCTAGTATCCGCTTTACTTGCCTAGTATCCGCTTTACTTGCCTAGTATCCGCTTCACGTACCTAGCGTCCGCTTCACGCAGTGGCGTCTACCTAACATATCTTGTGTTTATACGCTAATCACTAAGTTCTCAAACAGGTGGCAATTTTCGGGAAACCAATTAAAACAGTGTTATCTCCTTCACTCTCACTAGAAAGGGCACATTACATAAAAGTTTTATGGGTTTCAGAAAATAATAACAACTAAGCTGGAGGCATTATATCATCACATACGGTTGGTAGATCGAGGGCATTTCTCACCTTTGACACAGCCCTCGGGTCGCAGGGTTTGGCCCTCGGGGCATTTGTTACACTTGCTGCCGAACACACCGGGCTTGCAGACGCAGAGGCCGCGCGACTGCTCGCAGTCGTCGCGAGCCGAGCCGAACGCGGAGCAGCCGCACGCTGAAACACACGCAACACCGCCCTGCAGCCGACCATGGGATAGGACGGCACACTGCAACACAGTGCCAGACGCTGGGTAAGCGCGCGAAACGGCCCTGTGGTCCAACAAAGTTTGTGTTACTATTCTGGACCAGTTGATTGCAAGTGCCCGGAAAAGCTGCGCTGCTCATAAGCTGCAATGCAATAAACTTATGTGTCAAGGACATTGCCTCTTGTAAAAATATCGCGTACTTCTTGTTCTGGTATGGATGAAGTAAAGAATCTTCCATATAAAAACATGCTGTTTGGAGCATTACCACACGCCATTTGTCGACGTTTAATTATCATCTTTTCCTTGCATTCATTCGACTTGCTTGACTCGTTCGAGACACGTGGATTAGAAGGGACAGGGGTGTCGTACGTGTGGCGTTTTAAGTGCTATTCATTTAATAAAGTTGTTGGCTTATTTTCCTCTCCTTTACAACGCAGAATGCAAGAGAATCTGAGTTAAGCCAGTCTTTAATGAGATCAGGTTTTAAAAAGGCTAAACTCCTTAAGCGTTTAATGGGCTCAGAAATCCTCTTCGATAGAGGCTCTCCCAACTTTAAAACACATCCCAAATGTGAGCCCCCAGCAACGTTGTGTTGGTGATCCTTCCTATGTACGTTGGTCCTGCCTCTCCACCCTTTGCCGCTCGTTCCATCTCATCCCTATCCAGTGACCCTGAATTGAAGCTCGTTCAGAAAATTGCATGGCAGGTCCCTATCGGCTGGGTGCATCAAGGTAATGTGTCCTGACTTTCCAGCGTTCAACAGCCCCATGCCATTCCGACTTCGGGTAATGGACCTTCGGTAACGAGGATAAAGGGACTTACGCGCAGATTTTGCTACGTGACTACTGAACAGGTCAGTGCATCTGAACAAGTAAGTTACGGCGTTCGGCGCGGTATATTAAGCATGACATGAAAGAGTTCTGCCATCAGATCTGACTTGGTATATCAAATGGTTTCCGTCAAACTCCATTCCAGGCGAAATCATTTCGAATCAATGTAGCAATCTAATTCACCACAATGCAAGCAGCTAATGTGCGACTGTTCTAATGATGCTCACATTGTTTGGCTTTGTCGGTAGCTCCTGCTGTCAGTTTACCAATTAAGGTCTCCCTTTTGTCGACGTATCGTTACATCTTATAGTGTTTTCAAGACCAAACGCACGAGCAGTGGTGTTACTTAGTGTATTTTCGGGAAAAGGCTGTGCACCCCCCCCCCCCTCAATGCTGACTTTTGAAATGCTCTCTGAAACTCTATGTGTAAAAACTCTAATGTAAAACTATAAAATGACCTCTGATACTCAATGATTCTCCAAGACAAACAATGCTATAAGCAAAATAACAGAAAACTGGGCCAATGAAATGCAGTATCTAGTACATTAGATACATACACATATCACTCTGTATCATCATTATCACTATCACATTGACTTTGAATGTGAAGTCATTCCTCAACATAAAATGAGTTTCGGAAATGACCAAATATGTTTTGCGGTTTAATGGTTACATCAGGGACGCTCCAGAAAAATAAGGATTTGGGGGTAGTTTAAGTCAACCTAATCGGTACAGCCACCGTCCCTCACCCAACTTGTTTTAGAAGGTAACGCCCCAGGTAGCAAGAGGCGTGTCGCATTTGACCGTGATTTGTTCCAAACGGTTCGATAAAATCCTTGACACTTGTGCAACGTGTTGATCCCGAGTAAATAAGTTACCAAAACAAAACTATCGACTTATTGGGCGGATGAGCACTGCAGCCGTATCCAGTCGTTTGAGCTATCCGTTTGGCAAACAGTTCGAAAAGCGTCAAGCTATAGAAGAGAAAATGTGAAGCAAATTTTATCATCCTGTCTTATCTAAATGACATCTTCAAATTCTAGGCGTGATTTGGGGTATCAGTTTAGGAGTTGTGTTGATCAGGACGCGACTAAAGATCGATGCTGAGAAATTCCAATGCATTATATTTTCCAAGGTTATCCAAGCTCTATATTTTAAACAGTAATTTTTGCTCCACCATCCCATATTGCGTTACTTACCTTCATCTTTAACAGTAGCCAAGACAGATGAAAAACCTAGGAAACGTAAAATTGGTGGGTAAAACATACTGGTTACTGCTTAGGGAAGCTTGCACGTTATGACATCTGTCACCCTTCCACATATTTATGGATCTGAAAACACATTTACGTTATGATGTGTCCACCTATGCCGCGTGTTCAAACAGCTTTGATGCTGTAGCTAACATGCGACCAATAAACATCACGTTCGGAAATCGTCCCACCGCGGCCTAAGCTCTTTGCAGTCCACTGCGATGAGCCACTGCGATCCTTCCCCTTCGCCACAATTCTTTTCGGACCCGTCCTTATCACTTTCTTCAGCCACCTTTGAAATATTTTGGGTATCTCGGAGCAAATGCGTGGAGGGTTATAGTTTACAGTTACTACATGAACCGGCAAGCGTCAAAACCAATCGTCGTGAATTCTATCTGCATGGTGTATCCCAGCGCTCGAGTGCCATTCCAAAATTTGTGTGAGCATGATAAATGATGAGTTACGATAAAGCCGATGGATTGTGATAGTATTTATGCTGCAGTTGATTTCCATCAATCAACATATTTAAGTAGAAACATGCCATCTGATTACGCGCGGGTCAGAAAACACGGCAGTTTCTTGTGACACGTTGTTAACAGACCACACCCGGATGCGAGCTTGGATCACGCCCCGCGTCTGCGGCGTTGACGGGATACGTGGAAATGATGGGAAAAGTCGGAGAATCTTTACGCTCCAGCTGGCAAGATTCCACACATCAACTGGAACATCCACCAGGGCCGAGGCACACTGCTCTGGTTTGACCATACAGCTGAATTTGAAAGGCGCCAGTTTGCTTTTCTCTTTTCGTAAGTTTCGTAAGACCAACAATGCTGTAGTGCATGGACAGTCACTCCTGCCTTTGAAGCACCTGCTCCCCCTCAGCACAAAGACCGTCAATGATCACCTCTGCTGTAGCCAAATCGGTGGCACACATATTTAAAGTGGCCTTGATTGGTCTTGACAGGATTTTCATTCCTGAGCAAAACAAGTAACGGGATCTATAAACGTGTGAAGCTTGTTCCATACAGCACTCGAGATCAGCCCGAGTTTTAAACAGAAACAAATTCGCAATGGCCTGTCTATTCTTGACGCATGTAAACACTATGGCGCAAAATCAATAAGCGTAGGCAATCAAATGGTTTCACGGCATCAACTAAGTGATAGATAACGTCATCTGTCATTGTGACAGAATCCCCACGAAGTATTATCTTTTACAAATCGTATATCTATTTCGGATCGACGCATGCCAGTTACAGTTCACTGACGTTTGACGTTTTATCGTGGAATCGCGAATAAGGCCCATGCTTACTTCGGGCAAGCAATAAAATAGGTATATGAAAAAACCGTAGCCTTATTCCCTTTTGTCTATCGTGATGGGTCAAACTACTGCTTCGCAAAACGTTATTAAATTAACTTGAGCAGCCGGTTCCATGCATGATCGAGCGAAGACTAATTGGAGGCACCGGATTAATTAGTGCTGGCCAGTTTGCAGAAATAGAACCTGATGTCATATCATTCATTCAAGACTACCAGACGACAGGCTAATGAATGTGGCGAAGTTGTCTCATGAAATGTGAGTTTTCGGTGACCACATTGTACACCTGAGAACATATCAAGCACCACTCCGTCCACCAAAAAGGCCGACGGCGAGGAAGGCAAACCGAGATGGCGTGTTCCTCTAATGACACGTTGGCGCTCGTGCCTAGAGTCTTTGAAGTTACCGCTGACCGGAAGCACAATGGAACGCAGGTTTCTTAATTCCCACGAACTTGGGACACACATCCACACAAACTGTCTCATGTATAACCGATGCACACTGGACGAAAAAGTGTCATAATCTGCTGCTCTCCCAGCAATATTCCACATTTCCGGCGCGTCTTGATTACCGCCGGCACCCAACTGAGCAGGGATCCGCCTAGATGCGCGGGGATCTCCTGCCCTGGCTTGCGAGGCACCGCGGCGATCGGAGCGGCTTCCGCCGGCCTGCGGACCGTACTCACGCTGGCAGCCCACATTGCCGCGCGCTATCCTCGGCAGGCCCCAGAAGGCCGGCTGGCAGCGGTCGCAGCGGCGGCCGCCGACGCCCGGCCGGCAGGCGCACAGCTTCGTGACCGGGTCGCACTGCGGCCCGAGCGCGCCTAGCCGGTGACAGTCGCAGTCTGCCGGGCAGCCGGCACCACTGGCCGCCGCCGCCGCCGTCCTGCCGTCCGGGCAGCAGCCGTGCTCGGTGGCGGCGCACGGTGGCGGCGTGGCCGCGTCCAGCGGCGCGACCGTCGCCGGCGCGAGCGGGCAGCAGCGCGCGAACTCCAGCGAGCGGTGGCAGTAGGAGGCGGCCGGGCAGGCGGCGCCGTCGGCACAGCTCAGCGGCTGACCGGTGTCCGGGCTGAGCAGCGGCTCCAAGCCGTAGCATGGCGACACGGTCGCGTCTGCCGGACACGGGCGGCGGCTCTGAGTGAGTTTAGTGTCGAGCGGCCGCGATACGCTCGGAGACTTCCGCGAAACGTCGCTGGACGTGTGACCTCCGCGTTCCATCTCAGGGATAAAACCCACAGTTGGGAACTTGAGATACCGCTACATAATGTACAGGCTCGGCACGGAGCAAACATCGTTGCTGTCAGCGTAGTTTTAACAGACCACATCGCAAGCAGGAAGCGGCACGCTGCGGAACATCAGCCTCGCTGAAAGGTTGGCAGAATGCCAGGGCGGTTCTCGATAGGCAATCAATGACGGTCTGCACGTCGCCCGACTGGAGATGAGGGGCCGGAGGCTCGCGCCGCTTTTACAGGCCCCAGGAGTTCGACTCCGAGTAGGCAGCGGACGCACTTCACCTCAGTCTAGCGTCGGCACCGAAATGGATGGGCTGGCGCCCAGGCGAGTGTAAACATGACGTCATTGCATTCAAGCGTACCGAATGTTTAATGAACTGTCGGAAAAGCAGCTCAGACGTCTGGAGTGCATACGGGAATGCGAGCAGTGAACTGGGTGAAACAGGAACACTTGGGCAACGAATGGGAACATTCATGCGTGTGGCACCAGCATGCGTAACGACCTGCATGCAATGCAGGAATGTGCATCAAAGGAAGTGTAGGCTACATCTTCTCAAGAAGTAGCCAACACTTGCACAGATTCCTGGCCCAGGGGAGGTCAAAAAGGCCAAACACAAAACAAGTTCGATTGCCTTATAAGGGTTTGAGGTGAACCGATTTGCTACAATTTACAGGAATGGTGCAGCATCATAGAACTCACAATTCTCCTGTTTACAATGTTAGTTTTGTCACAGTTTAGACTTTTCGGAACAGTTTTGCAGTCAGTGGTATAAAGTCAGGTCAATGTTTGCCTTTATTCAAGACATGATAAAAAACAACTTCAACCAATTTGTACTGAATGGTATGTGCGGACGCTATAAAGAGCACCACCCTTGATGTAAAGTACGATCATTTACGATGTGTTAACCGTGGCATGAAGGTCATAAAGGTCATGACCCACCACTGTGGAAGCATATCATAAAAGTGGCCTGTTGTCTAGAAGTAGTAATTTATGGTTCTCCAAGGCACAAGCTGACACTAAATTCAAGTTGACGGCCAGAAATTCAAACATTATCATGCACATGACATCCCATGGAAAGGTCATGGTCATGAAATGGAAAGGTCATCTGACGTCAATGACGACTTGTGAGCTTGGCGGTGCTCTTGACTGCCTTTGCGGCAAAAAATGAATCACTGCAGCAAAAAAGCAAGGCCAAAGGCGTTTGGTGAAAATACATTGCACTTAAATACATTCATGCATCTTTCATATTATTCACACATATTTGCGGGTCACATATATATATATATATATATATATATATATATACACATATATATATATATATATACATATATGTATATATGTATATACACATACATATATATGCATATATATATATATATATATATATATATATATATATACATATATGTCCTTTTAAATATGGAATGTGCTTTCGTGCGCATTTCATATTAATTCATGCATATGCCCTGGCCATTTATGTATACATACATACACACACACACACACCACCATATAATATATATATATATATATATCTATATATATATATATATATATATATATATATATATATATCTCTCTCTCTCTCTCTCTCTCTCTCTCTCTCTCTCTCTCTCTCTCTCTCTCATCTATCATCTATTATATCTATATTATATGAAATTCGTACGTATGCATATATATATATATATATATATATATTATATATATATATATATATAATCATATGCATACGTACGAATTTCATATTCATCCATATCTACTTCATGTAGATTTATTATGAGTTTGCAGCACATACATATATATATATATATATATATATATACATATATGTCCTTTTAAATATGGAATGTGCTTTCGTGCGCATTTCATATTAATTCATGCATATGCCCTGGCCATTTATGTATACATACATACACACACACACACACACACACAATATAATTATATATATAATATATATATATATATATATATATATATATATATATATATATATATCTCTCTCTCTCTCTCTCTCTCTCTCTCTCTCTCTCTCTCTCTCTCTCTCTCTCTCTCTATCTATCTATCCATCTATCTATCTATCTATATATATATCATATGCATACGTACGAATTTCATATTCATCCATATCTACTTCATGCAGATTTATTATGAGTTTGCAGCACATAGATATACATATACGGTCTGAAATAAAATATTTCAGCTGCTTTTGACTTGTTTCGGTAAGACCATCATCGCTAGTATTTGTACGTATTTTGTTCCATCTTATGTGTAACGAGGAGAACTCATGGGGAAAGAGAAGCATCCGCCCGCCGCCCTATCCTGACCGGGCGGAGATAGCGCTGAACACTGACGTGGGCAAGGCATACCAAAGTGTCCTGCTTACAGTGTAAATACAACAATAAATGACAAACAGCCAGCGACTAAACTGCAAATAGCCGTCCGCTCACAAAACTTTCGAGTACACCATCTGTATATGTCTCAGCCATCGCCAAGTGACGAGCCATGATACATCGGCCCAGAATACTCTCTACAGCCCACCGCCCACCAGTACAAGTCAGGTCACAAAGATCATGAGATCAGGTCAGGTCAAATGTGAGCTCATACCTGAGCAGCTCAGCTGGGATCAGTGTCCTGATCGGTGATCGGTATCATCGACACCGAATAGCGATCGATGATCGGTGTCAGCTATCCCAACGCGACTGCACAAAACAGCCTTTTTTGTAACGCGTGAGACACTTTCATTTAGGAGAGCTGAGGGTATTTTGAATCTCGCGAATGGCCGCGCTCCATTTTGGACACGACAGTGCTCGAATCAAAGCACACCAACGCAGTGCTCCACGACCAGCAAGCACAGGCACGGCTGACTCGCTCACCACTAACCGAGTCTAGTTCTAAATGCACGAGCACCGACGGCATCCAGCGGCTGCCAATCATTCACATCTAACACGGACGACGAGGTGGGTGCTGCTGATGGGCGGCTCAGGCGGACTGCAGCGTGGCTGCTGCGCCGCCGCTGCGCCACGGCTGCGCTACCTGAGTTCAGTCCCTGGCAGAGCACCAGCGGGCGAGGCCTGAGCTCCTGCTGGCGCTCGCACGCCTCGCGGCGCAGCACGCACTCAGAGCGGTACAGGCGCAGGTCGGAGCCGCACACGGGCCGTGCCGCCGCCGCCGGCGGTGCGCCGCTCTCGGGGCCGCAGTCGAACAGGCACGTGCAGCGCGGCAGCCGGTCGGCGCCCGTTGTGCACGTGGCGCCGAATTCACAGCGGATGTCCTTACAGAGGTAGAGGTCGCCGAGCCCCGCCGAGACCGTGCGCGGCCCTTGGGTCAGACATGAAAGCAGCGGCGGCTGGTGGGCGTAGGCAGAGGCAGAGAGGTGGGGGCACGACCGATTGCGCCAGCAAAACTTGGACAGGCCCCCGGGTTAGTCGAGTTATGTGCGGCCAGGAACAGCAGTCGTAACACAGAGTTGGTCGAAAGTTAAGGTGAGCTGAGTTGATGTGACGGCCGTCGAAGTTTGACCATCACCGCCGACACAGCTGTGTAGTTAGACGTGCCAGGCTAATTGTCCGAATCACCCGTCAAACTATCGCCACATTTTGCCGTTTAAGCACCGCTGTATGTAAGTAACAGTGACAGGAGGTATAGGATGCGTTCCGCCATATATCTAATATTTTTTTCCAAAGGACGTTTCGGGATTCTTCAATATGTTGTTTCCAATTGCTTAGTCGCCATGTACCAACTGAATGAAGCGATTTTATATGAATATGGGAGAGGAACCTTGCCATGGAACTTAGTTGCAGTTAAGCTCAATTTGTATTCGGCAGAGCTCAGAGCACACTCTGGATACCAGGAATTCGCGCGTTAATTTATCGGAGATACAAATTACAGAGCTTCTCGCCTGCGTATGCCTAACAAGCCCAAATCTGAGTGTACGACTACAACAATGCAAAGAGCTGTCGTGCCAGGCGTTCTCATTTTTGTGCAAATTGCGGCAGAAATTTTTGCTTACAGGCATATGCATACCAATACTTTATAAAAAATCAATTCTGAACATGCATCTCGACAAAGCAAATGAGCGTCACAAAGCATTGTCCGCAAGTTACACAACATAGCATTGCTCAGTGCCTGGGCTGATCGCTGCACCGTCGCCACCTGGGGATGATGAACCTGCCTCTATATCCGGCCGGGCACTGACCGAGCGGGATAACTGCTCCAGCGCTACGTGCACGCGGCGAGCGCGCCTCTCACGGGACGCGACAGAGTAGGTCCCACTAGACATGGCTGAGCGGGTCCCACTGGACGTGACAGAGCAGGTCCCGCTGGACGTGATAGAGCAGGTCCCACTGGACGTGACAGAGCAGATCCCGCTGGACGTGACAGCAGGCTATCTATGCACACGTCCAGAGCGAGTCCCAGCTGGCGCCAACGACCCGCCGTGGACGGAAGTTACCGGACAGCCAGTCCCAGACACTGACCTCCGGAAGCCTGTTATCCGCAGAAGCAAGCACAAACGGAGCTTTTCCTGGTCACACGGGACCTGCCTTGAGGGACGGGCCTCGACACAGACTCCCAACACGGGTCGTGGAGATACCCCGGACGGTTTCTCACTGGACGTGTCCTGATAGCCAGCCTAGAACCGGTTATCATTGGACGTGTCCTGACAGCCAGCCTAGAACCGGTTATCACTGGACGTGTCCTGACCGCCAGCCTAGGACCGGTTATCACTGGACGTGTCCTGACCGCCAGCCTAGAACCGGCTATCACTGGACGTGTCCTGACAGCCAGCCTAGAACCGGTTATCACTGGACGTGTCCTGACAGCCAGCCGAGGACCAGCTATCACTGGACGTGTCCTGACAGCCAGCCTAGAACCGGTTATCACTGGACGTGTCCTGACAGCCAGCCTAGAACCGGTTATCACTGGACGTGTCCTGACAGCCAGCCTAGAACCGGTTATCACTGGACGTGTCAGCCAGCCTAGGACCGGCTATCACTGGACGTGTCAGCCAGCCTAGGACCGGCTATCACTGGACGTGTCAGCCAGCCTAGGACCGGCTATTACTGGACGTGTCCTGACAGCCAGCCTAGGACCGGCTATCACTGGACGTGTCCTGACAGCCAGCCTAGAACCGGTTATCACTGGACGTGTCAGCCAGCCTAGGACCGGCTATCACTGCACGTGTCAGCCAGCCTAGGACCGGTTATCACTGGACGTGTCCTGACCGCCAGCCTAGGACCGGCTATCACTGGACGTGTCCTGACAGCTAGCCTAGAGCCGGTTATCACTGGACGTGTCAGCCAGCCTAGGACCGGCTATCACTGGACGTGTCAGCCAGCCTAGGACCGGCTATCACTGGACGTGTCAGCCAGCCTAGGACCGGCTATCACTGGACGTGTCAGCCAGCCTAGGACCGGCTATCACTGGACGTGTCCTCACAGCCAGCCTAGGACCGGCTATCACTGGACGTGTCCTGACAGCCAGCCTAGAACCGCTTTTCACTAGAGGTTTTCCCGACAGCCTCGGGCCGTTACTAGAGGTTCTCCCGATAGCCTCGGGCCGTTGCTAGAGGTTTTCCCGATAGCCTCGGACCGCTACTCACTGGAGGTGTCCTGGCAGCGGCCGACGTAGGCCGTGGTGAGGTGGGCGTCGGCGTCGGCGGTGCAGGCGCGTGCCCTCATCAGACACTCGTTGCCGTAGGTGGCGCCGTCCGTGCCGCAGACGGGGTCCTCCTCATCGGGACACTCGGTCGGACACACGCAGCGCCCAGCCTCGCAGCGGGCTCCGAACTTGCACACCACGTGCTGGCACAGGTCTGCACGGCAGAGAGCGCCGCCGTCATGGACGCCGGGTGGAGACGGGCATTCGGTGGATATTTTCACCGAAAACGATATTCTTATAAGTCCACATGTCAGGCGATGCATGTAGGCATGTGCCATGAGTTTTTTGTTGTTGCAAAAGCTCGGTTGCAGGTGAGTGATGGATTCAACTGGATAACGAGTGCAAATGTCAGCGACCTTACACAGCAGTACAGCGTCAGTGACGCGGGCGACTCTGTAGCCAGCATCAATGCCCGAACAACACAGAGCAGTGCCACCAGGGTAAGCATATGCGTCACAGCTGGAGACAACACGGCCCTGGACGTCGCCACATCACACACACACATGACGCGAGAGCCGACGCATGGAAAACGCAGCACCTTAAAGCACCACATTCTTCCACAAGCAGCCATCACCACTGAAGCTTTGACAACACCAGCCATCACCACCAGCGTTCTGTCAACAGCAGCCATCACCACCGGCGCTCTAGCAATAGCAGCCATCACCACCGACGCCTTGGAAACACCAGCTATCACCACTAGAGCTCTGCCAACACCAGCCATCACCACCGGTGCTTTGGCAGCGGCAGCCATCACCACCAACGATTTGACGACAGCAGCAATCACCACCGACGCTTTGACAAAAGCAGCCATCATCACCTGCGCCCTGTCAACAGCAGCCATGACCACCGGCACTCTGGCAAAATTAGCCATCGTCACCGGCGCTCTGATAACAGCAGCCATGACAACCGGCACTCTGGCAAAATTAGCCATGACCGCCGACGCTCTGACAACAGCGCCAAGCACCCGGTGCGCGTCACACCCGCACCAACGATCACCACACGCGCTCTGACACCGGCACCAGCGATAACCAGCGTACACTGACGCTGCCAGAGCGCCTCACGCCCCATCCACTTATCCGGAGTCATTTGGCGCGTCGGAGCCAGGTGGGGGAGCGGGCCAAGTGCCGCCCGACGGCCCGGCACGCTCGTAACGTCTCCCGGCGCAGCGGCGGCGGCAGCGCCCTAATCGCCGCGCCGCGTCAAGAATGTATTAGCCTCCGCGAGACCGGCGCACCATTGTGTCCGGAGAGCGTGACGCCCGGAGAAATGACGGACGACCCCGCTGGTTTATGAGGACATATTTCGGCCGGCAAACAGACATGCCAATGCGGTGGCGTGATATATGTGGCGACATTTGTCTGGAGGAACAAACGACCGCGGAGGCAGCTAGGCGCTTAACTTCCGGCGAAGGTTATGACCTGCAGACACGGCGAACATAGGATGAGGGCATTATGATGCCGAAGGCAGCCGAAGTTTCATCTAGAAGTAACAACCGGCCATTTCAAATATCTGACTGAAAGATGGCCGGATCAAGGCAGGATACAATCACCGCACGTCACACATTGGGCTGTGGGCCTGGGTTATAGCCATGTTAGAATTTATTACACGGGCCAGGCCAATCGCTGCAAAGCAGAGCAGATAAAAGAGCCAACGAGCGAACGCGTCACAGCCCCATGATACTAACCTGGCATTTGCGCCACTGTTAGAAGCGATAAGGCCGACACAGCAGTAACAGCTGGTACGATCCAATGTTCACAGCTGGGTGATAACCGTCCTTCTCTTTCATAGTTGCTGAGCCCGGCCCTAGCAAGATAAGACCAGTGCACCACTGCAGCGAGAGCCGCGACGCCCAGGTTCCGCTCCATTCTCACCGCAGTCTCCCTTGTACGCGGCCGTGACGAACTGCTGCTTGTTGCAGGCGGCCACCTTCATCTCACACTCGTTCGGGTATGTGACGCCGTCGATCCCGCACACGGGATCGTTATGCTGCCAAGCGGAGAGACGGTGTTAGCGGGCGGCGGCGGCGGCTGACGACGCTAAAGAAGGTGGGTTGATAGTGCCGGCCGGCGCACGGTGGCCAGAGTCTCAGGATATATGCCATTGATTTAAAGAGAGGAGGAGCGCGATCCAAACATTTCACAGAGGCTGTCCGGAATGATTCCACTATCAAAAATGAAAGCCCTCTGGCAATCTATCGCATGATATAACAATGTGCAGTGCGATCATTTGCGATGGTACTGTAATGTAGGCGACGGTTGCAACGCGATCAGCATACCGCGTATCATGCAGGCTGTTATCGCTACGTCGGCCCAGTTGAGAAAGGACGAGCAAGCCGACGTTAGCTAGGGACGCGACAGTAGTTGGGGGCGTGACAGTAGCTGGGCATGCGACAGTAGTTGGGGGCGCGACGGTCGCTGGGGACTGCGGCCGGCCACCTTCCGCGCCGCTCTGTGGCGTACACTTCAAATCCGTGCTCCCACCACACGAGCGCAGTGAAGCTCAACACTTAAGTTGGGGATAGGCGGTGCGCGACGTTCTTCTAAAGGCCGCCCAAACTTAGAAAATTGAATCCGCCGTGGATCCCAGTCGAAATGAAAACTTCCGAATTGATTGAGGGCTCGTTGCCGACCTTAACGCGGCCGTAGCGGGCGCTCGCAGCCCGCGGCGCCGTCGCGGTCGGCCCAGAGGTCCGATAACTGGCGCCGGCGGCAGCTGCGCGCCCAGTCAGCACCACCGGCTCGCTGACCCGACCGAAACGGCCTGGGGCCGCGCCCGGCACGGCCGCCACGAGCGCGCCCAGGGACGGATCAGGGGAGGATATCGAGGCTCCAGCAGAGGCAAGCTCAGGAAGCGTGACACGGAAACCACGCAAAATGCGGATCAAGAAAACTCAGGGGAACTGTGGGGAAGTAGGGAAGGCACTAAGACAGAGGCAAAGTCAGGGCCGCAGTAGGTGAGATCACGGCAAATCCGTCAGAGGAAGAGCCGAAGAAAGTATTCCAATATTTCAAGTTTAACTGTCAATTGCCGCTCTTCAAGCCTCATGTTGAACAATCCCAAGAACTTCCATCCGGAGAAGTCTGAGTAGAATTAGTAGCGTTATACCAATAAGGAAATACGCTACCAGAGCCAAGGAAAGAAAAGAAAAAAAGAAGTGAGAAACGATGTACGGAAAATGCCGAACGGGACCAAGGGTGGTGGAAGGCCCCACCCATGTGTGACCATTCATACACTCAGGTTGGAAATACAAAATAAAGAGTCCTCATAGAAATCAGGACATCCTGTAAGCGAATGGATCATGAATCCACTTCACCTTGGCACGATGCGTTTGTGCGAGATTACTGCGAAATTTGTAGGCGTCAACTTCTGTAACTAGACTATTGAATAGGTTGCGCAGCTTAAAATCGTGATGATCAGAAAAATACTGGCATGTGTACTAAAAATACTGGTCTCCACGAACTAAGCAAATGTCACAACAAAACTATCGTGCAACCTTCGATACGGTGTTCTTGCCAAGCCTACAACTTCCACTTCAACGGGAAAACCGGGTCGTGACAAGAAGTGAAGAGTTTGCCTCATTCAGACCCTGCGCCGCGTGTCCAACTTGCGGCACTCATCTTTACCGTTGGTTTTATGAGTTTACTTTGCACGTATCGGCGGCAAGTTGTGTTGAGTAGCACGAGGCGTAGTGGCGCCACAGCCAGGACGCATGTGACGACATTCGAAATAGTTGCAACCGCCCAGCATCCCCGGACGTGGAGGAGTAGCAGTTGGCGATGTGGTTGGGTCTGAGGCCTGACGGTGGTACCCAGAGCTGCGTGGACAGCCCGACATCACAGTGAGTTACCGAGGTGATCAAGTGTTGGCCTGCTCATCACGGGCCGCCAAATGGCCGGCAAAATCGACCCAGAAATAGCATGGCCAGGTTGGGCCCAATTTAACGCCGCGCCGACAGAGTGTCAGTAAATAATGCACCGTGCAATGAAGCATGCCATTTATGATTCACGTTCGCCTCCGATAGCAGGCAAATTTGTACGGAAACCTCAAGAAGAACTTTAAACCTTTTGCCAGAGGAGCATAGCGGGATATGTCCAGGCCCAAAGGCGTCGGGATTATGATAAGGTATTGATCAGAGAGTCTGCGCAGATTTGAGATCCGAGATCATCACTGTGCTTGCATAATACACCCTGAGTGACCGCTGTTATAGCCATTTACTTGGCATATAGTATGCTTACAAAATAGAGTAATTGGCCTCGGTATATCAATGATGCAAAGGCTTTCATCGACGCTTTAACTGTTTTACTACATACGAAAACCCTATACATGTTTGTATATTTATGGGGGGAGGGTGCGGGGTGTGGGTGTGTGGGTGTGTATCACATCTTGGCACTTTTTCTGCAGGCTTTCAGGGGTCGGACAAACCCTTGGTTTCCAAGTTTAATGGGCAACTGGAAATCTGCAGGCATGATCACCGCCTCGCCATAGCCAGGGACTTCATGAAATATGAATACGCACGTGTCTGCTAGAGATACAACAGAATATTAATCCTACGCTCTTTGTTCGTTATGCTTAACTAATTTCCAAGAACATTTGCAACAAAGATGCTGAACAGTTAATGAAATCAAAATCATTCCCGTTTTCGCAATGTAGAACTAAGCATTGGATACGGCAAACAGGTGGGCAGCGTTAGGCTAGGACCACAGAATAGGTTGGAAGCGGCTGCAACGGCCATAAATGGGTGGCGGAAATGACCAAATCTCTACTGGTGACGAGTGGATCGGGTAAGGAAAATTTGATGCTAAGACTTCCAATCTATCCCGATCAACTTCCATTTGTTATAACAGGTACAAAACAACCAAGAAGATCTACACATCTTAAAGTAATGGCAAGCAATCTGGTAAGGCTTATCTTCGGGGTCCATTTCCAAGAAGAGATAAAGCTGGTGCTGCGTTTACGTTGGTGATATCATAGCCAACATTTGTGGTGGGTAAGAGTTGGACCTGTTTCTGGTAGGGCCGTTGAACATTTATGTGCCCACTCATGTTCTAAATATGTCAGTAAATGCGCTTGAATCCTCAAAAGCATTAGACAAAAGCAATTACCGCCTTTGAATCCAGCCGGCCGTTGATTTACAGCTTTACAGCCGCGTTACTTCGTGTTATTGTTTGTAACTGGGAGCCGGCTCCAGCGTCAGTAAATCAGACTGACGTATTTTATCCAGCTACAAGTCTGATATGCATCGCGCGGAAGGAATTTGTTTTCCCTTTAGGCTCGCCGTGGTTTGAGTAAGCTGAATCTACATGTTTACCCACGGAATTGAGTTTGCATTCCAGAGACGACTTTGGGGCGGAGAAAGAGATTAATCATGATGGTATTTGAAAACGCGCCGACTGAGCACGTAAATAAGTTCGATGCACCTGGGACCTCCGCAAAATGAATAGGAAGCGCAAGGGACCTCCAAGACGTTCACAGCGATGAAATTGGAGAGCGGCCGGCGAGAACTGCAGTGGCAAATGGTGCTCCGATATTCAATGCAGCGTTTTTCTGCACCAGCCGGTGGCGGTCAGGTCAGCCTTCCCCTAGCCGGCGGGCTCGTGTGCTGTCCATTGGGGAAGGTCGTATTTTTCATGCAACTAGAGCGCGAAATTTGTAAAGGGATTGATTGCTGGTAGTGCATCTTGCGCTAAGCAGTATTTGTTGTGTTGGCCGGATTCCATCACCCAATCCACAAATTTCAGGTCAGCGACAAAATTATGTGGCAAACAACAAAATTATGCGGCAAACAAACTCTGCCGTGCTGAGCACGGTTCGCCCCGCCCACTGACCTCATTTGACCTTCAGTGGCCGCTGACTACGGCCGCGGGGTGTGCCAGCCTGGAGCAAACGGCGAGCGCCGAAGTGACTCGAGCCCAGCCACCCCGCCACGGCAAGGACGAGCTGCAACCGCTTTAACCGATTGAGCTACGTGGCGGACAAATGGGGGGGGGGGGGGGGCAATTAACCCCACGCTACCCGCCAATGAAAGCCAGATTATCATAGCACCATCCGGTGGGATTGACGGCGTTACCACAACACCATCCGACAGTGAAGGTTTGGTTATTTCCGACCCATACGGTGATGTGGGGCGGGATGGCCCAGTTCGACCTGGCTGTGTGGACCAGCTTTACGCAACAACGTCTGGTAATGGAGAGCGGGCTGCCAAGCACCATCCGCTGCTGAAACCCACATCATCCCAGACAACCCTTCGATGACACAGGATTACTTTGCCCTCCCTTTTATCAGGTGGTGAAGGCCATGATAACCCTGCGCCATTCGGCGAAGGTTCGGTTACCCATACACCATTCGGTGGTGAATGTCAGGTTGCCCTCGCATCAAGCGGTGGTGAACGGTCTGCGCAGCCCGGTTTTGGCAAACCATCAACGTAAAAATTACAGACATATCTTAAATTATACTTAGGAAGACATGAAGTATAACCATACCATATGAGATGACAGCAAACGACAACCTCATGAGCTGTTGCGATTGAGGACACAGAGGACAATGAATGAGGATGCAAGCTGCAGCTACATATGAAACGTGGTCAGGCCTGTTCGTCGGCCTTTAGTAAGGACAGCACTTGTTCCTTGCCCCCCCCCCCCCCCGGCAAACATGGGAGCCCTCTCCTACTTCAAGCCTCGGGTCGAACACCAGAGCCGTCTGTGTCGGCCTCCTGCCGGCGGTGTAGTGCGCGGCCGCCACAGCCGTGGTCGGCTGGCGTTAGCTGGCTTCAGGCTGGACACTGGCTGGCCGCGGCCCGGTCCGTCCCGGTACTGCAGCCCAGTCTGGTCCGGCACTGCGGCCCGGTCTGCCCCGGCACTGCAGCCCGGTCTGGCCCGGTATTGCAGCCCGGTCTGCCCCGGTACTGTAGCCGGGCCTGCCCCGGTACTGTAGCCCGGCCTGTCCCGGTACTGTAGCCCGGTCTGGGCCGGTACTGTAGCCCGGTCTGG